AAAACATTAAATCTAACTCTCAAAGACCAGAGAGAATTTCTCTGGCCCTCAAATCTAACCTAACTTTTTCAGCATGTTCATGGATGAAATTCTCCTAGCATGATTAATATAAATGAAAACTGAGCATATGTACAGCTTCAGGGCAATGATTACTACATCTTTCATTCACAAACCTAAGGCTAAATGTTCCAAAATAGAGAGATAGAAGTTGATGAAAAACTTGTTTCTGTTGGATTCGAGTTGGACAATGCAATAACTTTCAGTGAGGCCTGAGGTTCTTTTGAGCTTGCTTGATGTTCCCTGGACCTTTCCCAATGCTTAGCTTGCCTTGAATGTCTCTGAATCAACCTCTAGAAGTCAACCTGCATAAGCTTGAAACGAAAATGGTGAACACTGTAAATGGAGTTACAGTTGGAAATGGAGGTTTGGGATATCTTGAGTGAGTTTAATGGAAGGTATTGGAACATGTTTGGGGCAAAACGCACGAGGCAATGTGAAGATGGAAGTGATTCTGCAGGGCCTGCCCTGTTTTGCAAGAAAATGTGGTTTTTGTGTACAAGGGTATTTGAGGGATGAATGGATCGTGTTTCTGGCTCACAAGGATGTGCAAAACTTGTTTGGAATGTTGGCTTGACTTGGTTATATCAGATTCACAAGATATGGACTTTCGGCATAATGACTTGTTTTGAAAGAAAAGTGTGAAGTGAAATGAGAAAGGCCTGTACAGGCTATCTCCAAGCATGCACAAGTTCCTTGTACCTTTGCTTGAGTTTTTGGAACTTGTTTGCTGCAAAGAAAGAAGTCCAAGGCTCAAGAAAAGAAATTTGACATAAAGTTGCCTTTATGAAAATGGAAGTGCCATCTTTATGCCAAAAATGGATTTATTCATTGTATAATGCTCCTTTGATCAGAACAATGCCTCTAACCAATGTGTTTGCATTCAATTTTTGAGTGTTGAATTGTTTAGAGACCTGTAATTATGTACTAAGCTAGTTTGGTCAGATTTTGCAACTTGTATGAACATGTATTGGCCATGGTTAGAAAGTGAGTTTTTGCCAACTTCAAGCATTCAATTCTCCTTAACCACAAATGTGTTTGAGTAGTTCTTAGACAATTTGGAAAGATTGCAACATGTACTATAATCCATATTTAAAATGCAACTTGAGAATCCAAGTTGAACTATGTGAAAAATGGCCAAGAAGATGGGTCAAAATCCTGCCTAAACTAGGACAAAATTTCTCTAAGTTAAAAGTTTTAGGGACCCTTGTTCCAAAAATCATAACTTGAGATCCAAGCTTCTTTTGAGAAAACTTTGTGAATAAAAGTTTTATACTTTGTGATGGACTACAACTTTCATGTTGTAAGTTTTGTTTGAATTCATTTTCATCTTGGTGAAAATGTGGGACAAAGTTAGGAAAAATTAAGAAAATTTCATAACTTAGAAAAATTCTAGGTTATGAAAATTTTCAATTTCAAACCCTAATTTGAAATTTTGGGTTTCTTGATGAACAAGTTTTATAATTTGACACATCTTGATGAAAAATGACCCTTGGCACTTGATTTTGACCAAAAAGTCAAAGTTTGACTTTTCAGTATACAGTCAAATTTTGATCAGTTGACTGAAAAATTCATCTGTCAATCCTATGCATTTGAGATATTTTGAACTTGTTGAATAGGTCAAGATAATTTCATTGAGTCCTTGAGCCCCTGGTTGAACTTGATTTGCCATTGGCTAGGTTAAACAGTCAAAAATTGCCTTTGTACAGTCAAAACCCTAAAACTGACCATTTTGCCCTTTTGGTGATCTGATCAAATTTCTTGTGGATGTGTGGTCCAAACTTGATCAAATGGTTAATATGAGTTCATAATGTTGATGTAGGTCAAAATTCATGAGGTTTGACTGTAAATTGGCCACAGTTGACTTTTCCCCCAATACAGTTGATTTTTAGGTCAACTGTCCAATTGACTGGGCAAAAATTTGATACAAGGCTTGGAACTTGGTATGGGCAAACTTATGAGTCCAACATGAAGTATTAAAGTCAACTTGGGCATTGAAGGTCCAAAAATCCCTGTGCAAACTCAAACCCTAATTTCAGGTCAACAGTGCAAGGAGATGTCTTGAGCAGAGCAAACCCTAGCTTGGTCTTGAGTTCCAAGAGTCTTGTGATGAGAAATGTTGATAAAATGAGAGAGAAAATTTTGGGGTACAACAGTTAACAAACAAGTGATAAGTCCTAAATATAATCGAAACAAAAATTTGCATAAATCTAAGGGAGTAATTACTTCCACAAAGTTTCAATCAATAAAATTTCAATCAAACTTCTTCTTCATCCTAAATTCCAAACCAACACACATCACTTATTCATCACAACATTATTACATACTCTTTTTGTTTTTCTTTTTCAAAGATTTTCTATTTTTTTTCTTTCTTTTTCTATCACATTTTTTATTTCTTTTCAATCTCATAGCAATCAATGAATAAATACACAATCTTTTTTCTCCCCAACTTGAATTCGACTATACATTAAAGTGAATACTCCCTACTTTCTAAGGCAAGATAAAAATTCAAACCAAAACAATAGTGAGGGTTCAAGAAAATAATGAATCGACATCTATGCAAAAAGGGAAACTAAACACTCATAGACAAGCATTTAGCAAATACAACATGGATATTGACAAAAAGCTTAAAAGGGTTACTAATGATCACACACTCACGAGGTGAATTGACTTATTTTCCCAAGGTAGTTGTGCTCAAAATGAAACAAAAAATGCCTTGATCATGTTCAAGCTTTCATACAATCAATACAAACAAAAGATTAAGCATAATAAAATCGAGTTAAAAAAAGAATTGTGGTCTTCAGCATATGTGAACAAAGAAAAGCTACCTCACAAAAAGGGTAGGAACTAAATTGATTCATAAATGAACAAGTATACAAAAGAATGAATGGAATAAAAATTGTAAAATTTCTAAGTATCATGAATATGCTAAAGTATAGAAAGCGATAAACACATACCTCAAACGTGTACAAAACTTTAACAAAATCATTACCATGCATTCGCAAGTCGAAACGATCAAACTTAACAAATCACGTCAATATTCTACAAGTTACCAGACTAAAACTCTAGTGCAAACAACAACAAAAGAATTAGAAAAAAAATACTCCTACAAAATTTCAATCTACAAAATTTACAATATATACAACGAACAAAACTCCTCAAGCTAAACACGACAAGCTTTCGGAAAACACAAATTAACATAACAAAACAAATACAAATAATGATATGAAAACCGGATGAAAATGAATTAATAAGTTGAAAAGTGAAGATTTGAAATTCAAAATATTTCTTTATTTTAACTTGTTAAAGCACAAATCACCACAAACATAAACAAATACAAATAAACATGCTTGTTTTACTTCATAAGCTCGACGCCTTTATTGTGCGAACTAGTAACCTCCTCTCATCATGCCATGGTATTGTCACACTGTGCAAACCTAAAGAAACACTACAAGAAAAATGATAGATTGGGACGGTTATTTTGGCTGATTACGACGGTTAAAACCGTCGCAATTTATAATCTACGACGGTAGAAGTACCGTCGCAGAATCGTGCGTCCCCAGCCTATTTCACGACGGTTGCAAAAACTGTCACGCACAACAGATGGCGACGGTTATATACCGTCGTGAATTTGACTTTATTTTTTGTTTTTGTTGTTGTTTGCGACGGTTATATACCGTCGTGAATTTGACTTTATTTTTTGTTTTTGTTGTTGTTTGCGACGGTTATATACCGTCGTGAATTTGACTTTATTTTTTGTTGTTGTTGTTTGCGACGGTTATATACCGTCGTGAATTTGACTTTAACCGTCGTAATCTGATTTATAAATTTCAAATAATATTTTTATTTAAATTATTATTTAGTAAAATAATTTTAAATATAATATTATTTTACTATAATATTTTACTATTATATTTAAATTATTATTTACTTTAATATTTTTTTATTTATAGTATTTTTATTTTATTTTCTATCACTTTTCAACATTGTTTTGAAATGAGCAATCCAATTGTTTTGAAATATTTACTAACTCAGTATTATTAATTCAGTTGGGAAACCATTTGTAAAATAATGCAAGGAGACATTGCTTTTGCTATTGAAGCGTGAGATTTCCGTGAGATACCAGTACTTATTATTGGGAGAAAAGATTTATGAATTATTGCACATTGTAATATGCTTATACCACCTTATAACTTTGCTACAAGTTACCTATAACAAGTGAGATTTTCCGATTTTCAGGAACTATAACAAAAAGAGGTTAGCTCCGAAATCTCTTGATCATTTTGCAATCTTTGCAGCCATTTCTCTGACCAACTTAGCAGCTACCATAGCAGTCATTCCATCAACAGTATCGCGTTGTGGGTTGAGTTCAACGACGTCTCCAGCAACAACATCACCTTGAAGATTGTGTAGGATGTTAAGAACATCGCGGAAAGAAAGACCTCCCGGTTCAATATGAGACACTCCCGGAGCAAATGCAGGATCAAGACAATCCACGTCTATCGAGATATACACCCCTTTCACACCTTCCCCTAGTTTCTGCACAAGGAAATCACCAAGGTTTAAAAAGAACATACAAATGCACAAGTTAGTATCAATACATGCACACTCGGCATCAAGGGCACTTGTAGCTTCATCAAGAAGTAATATTTTTGGATCTTTCAAAATTGCTCTTCCAATTGCAACTCTTTGCTTTTGACCTCCCTAGAGTTGAGTTCCATGTTCACCAACCATTGCGTCTAGTCCCTAAGATCATTAACCATGTTTAAACAAAATGATTAAATAAAAAAGAACACGCTCAATATGAAGGGGCAGAATATTTCAAACTGTAAAATAGAATTTACTATGACGTTACATGTACATTCAGGAGGAACATGAATACCTTGTACTAATACAGTGAATTGATCGATGAAGCTCCAGCTTGGAGGAATAGAAGCAAGCAATTAGTTGTTATGCAATGTACTCATACTCCTTCATGTAATATTAACATCAACCATGAAACTCAATCACTGTCATACAGGTTAACATAAACAATAATAATTGAAAGCATGTATTTAAAAAAAATGTGAGCAATAATCACTTACAAAATAAAGAAGAATGCAAACAACCCCGATGGAAATGTAAGCATCGCAAAATTGAATCTGTAACCTTGATAAAGGCCAAATCTAGCGATTAGAGTTCCTATGTTATAACTGATACAAATTAAACGAAAAGACTCGAATTTCAATAACACTTACTACAAATATTTCACTCACATGTGTAGTAGTGTAAATAAAACAACAAACATTAAAATTGTCATTTGTTAGGTGCCATCATCACAATACCCTATAAGACCAGTCAAGTATTTATGATGAACTATAGCAAAACATTTGGCCTTTCAATCACAAAGGATAAAACTTGTTAACTGTATTTACACTCACACAGGCATGATGACATTTGCAAGTTAGTTAATCATACTACCTCTACTTGAAATTGTAGATATCCTTGAGCTGATGAGAAAGATAGCATTTTGACAGCTACGTCAATATCATCACAATCCAGCCATGGTAGACTATTTCAGATGCTTCTTTCCCCCACCACCTTTTCAAAGTTTCTGGTAATGCTTAATACTTCTTCATAGGTGAATTCTTGTTTCTTTGACTCTAGTTCTTGCTTTATTCTTGAATAAGCACCAACCTTGCTCACCTGATGGGAAGCTATGACGAAGAAACACATTCATTATCGAAATGGAAGAAAAAGTACCACGAAGATTGAGAAACTTACATGTGTGATGAATAAACTATATAAAAAATATACCTTTGCAATAACATGGTAGGCTGTCAAGGTTCTAAGAAAATACTTCATCTCTTAAATTGCTTCAACATACAAATAAGGAATACATAATCCCTAAAATGTTTCCTCTTTCATGTAACTCACCACTAACTAAGAAGTTTCATTGGCCTTTGCATTTTCTTCTAAACCTTCCAATTAAATTGACCCCTGTGAAATTTAATATTATTCAACCAAGAATGAAACACATGAAAATTAAGTATAAAACTACACAATAGTACTTCAATAGTTCAACTTTTACAATAACATATACTGTCCAAAAAAAAAATCTTTTCTGAAAGGTATCGATTTGGCAGGGGAAATAGGGCATGAAAAGTTATTTTTCAGTTCTTTTGGCAGGGGATTGATTATTCTCTGAGGATCGAGCTCTATGGGTAGTTGGGGAGATTGTTTCCTACTGCTGCTATCACATTTCATCAATTATAACAATGCTTTCTCTTATTCTGCATTGGCATTATTTACTGTTTAATTCCCTAGAAATCTGGTTTGCATCACAATAGCACGTCATTTTACATGAGTGTGATGTCTGTTCCATCAGTCCAGGGTAGCAGAAGAGCTTCCAAAAGGAATTTGATCTATATAATAGAGATTTACATACATTTTAGACACCACATCTGCCATAAGCAAAAAAGAAATAGTGGTTTACATCTCTTGATGTAGTGCTGCTTGTGCAGTCTAGAGTAACCAAACTAATCAAAAAAATGCAGCAACATGGGGAATGAAAGAACCAGGATAGAAGAATTTAAATTAAATGTCAAAGCTTCCAACTAAAAGTGCAGAGTGTAAACATTTATCCCAAAAACAAAAGGTATGGTGCAAACATGAAAGGGATGTCGTATCGCTGGGCAATACAAGGTAGAAACAGTATGTCCTCTAAGCATAAGCTATGTAGAAAATCATGATATAAATGCATTGAATCGAACAAAAAGTAAAAGAATCGTTACCACGGGTCCATGAAGAGGATCAGAAGCGATGAATTCCTCAACATCAGAGTCAGACCAGGAAGTGAGGGGTTTATCACGCTTGATGAAGTTGGAATAATTGCTCATAAACGAAAACCTCTCGCCCCAAAACTCTTTGTAGCCTTCCCAGAAAGACTGAGGTGATGAATCTTGCGTGTTACCTGCCATCGCCACCGTTTTCCCCCTTCAATTGTTTCACTCTGCAGCCACAAATCAAGAAAAATCGATCAATTAAACAAAATCGATGGATTTCCCCATAAAAAATCATTCATGCAAAATCTGAATAAATTGTTCATTTCAAATTAAATGGATGAGATTGATGGATAATAGAAATTGGAGTCTGAAACAAACCAGTGAGAAGAGTAAGCTGACGAGCACGGTACTTTTCTGCTGTTTAGGTTTGCCAAATGAATGTGCTTTTTGTTTCAGATCTTCGCTCTAGAATTCACTCTATCGAACATCCATTGAAATAATTTAATAAATATGGATTATTATCGTTTTTGTGAATATTTTTTTAAATAATAAGGTATCGAAAAATATTTGGTATGAAAGGAGAGCAAATTACTAAGTAAAATTTGGATAAGGGTTAATTTATGCTCACCTCTAAGACGTTGTAGATCACATACAGTTTGATTGTTGCTTGACCACGGATTATATGATATATGAAGCTGATATCTAAAACAACAAAAAATTAGGAGTGGTGAGCATAACACCAATTTCAGCATAAGAAACAACCTGATAATTCAAAACAGAAATATGTATATGGAACTAAACCTATTTGCTGCAAAACAGTGATTCCACAAGCCATAATAATAAAATAGCCAAAATCCGACAATTCATTGCATGTGTTAATCTGTGAGTATTTAAGATAGAATATTACAAAACTTAACAATCAAGTAGTAAGATAATCCAGTAAAACATAAACTGCATAAAACTCTCTGGATAGGTAAAAGGAGAAAACATACAATTGGATCAGGCGCGTTTACTTGCTGGCACATAACCCAGGGAACACCTGTATCAAGAGATGTAGCCATCGATGCTGCCCAATTGATGTAAGATTTACCAGCAGGACCATAGTGTATATCAACGTTTCCATACTCATTTTCAATCTGGCATACCAAATAACTGAGCAATAATTTCCTTAAAAAAAGAAAATTGGCTTGTATTTTGATGATTTTAAGAGAATGAAACCTGAGATAAAATGATAGGTCCTCCTTGTGATGCATAGAGATTCTCTTGCTTCATCAAATCCACAATCTTTGCTGTAAACCGTTTCATTTCTGCCTTGAATGGTTCATTATCAGTTCTGAACTTAATTCCCGGAATAAAATGCAACCAAAGAGGGAAACCACTGTTTAGGAAGGGAAAAGAAATTAAAGTCAGGGATTAGATATTATGATGAAACTGTCTTCAAAATGATACATTGAAAAGATCCAATTTTACCCGTAATTCCATTCTGCACAAGCGTATGGACCGATCCGGAGATGAACATATAGACCTGCTGCTGCTACTGCCTTCACAAATCCAACCAAATCACCCCTACCTTCAAAATTGTACTGCCAAGCCAAAATATGTAATCCATCGTTAATTTTGAGAACTCACAAAACTGCAATGTAAAAGACAGAAGAATAACAATATGAAAGTGGAAAGACAATGAAAAAGAACAGAACCTGGCGTCGAACAGGTTCGTGTAAGTTCCAGAAAACATAAGTCTCAATGACATCAATTCCTCCATCTTTGGATTTCTGAATAAGGTCTGGCCACATCTACAACAACAACAACACTACCATTGTTAAGTTCAAACATCAAACACAAATTGAATAAATAGTGCATATCTACTAGCACAGACACGATAATAGTTTGAAATAAATTGAAGTGACTAAATGTAACCATTTCAGAGATATCTTATGACATTGGGCTGAAGTATCTGTGCTACATAGGTGTATATATATAGACACAAACATAAAGATGAAGAGAGTTAAGAAAACATACCAAGAAAAGTAGAAGGAAATGCTGAACCAAACCTAGCAAATCAGGATGAAATGGTAGAAGTCCTGCAACCCAACCAAGGTTTAAGAACCCCAAAATATAAAATAAGAATAAGAATTGAATTCCCAAACAAAGGAATCTAATTCAATTTCAAAAAGTAAAACCTTTGTTGCTAGCAAATATGACAGAAGCAACACAAGTCACTCAAATAAACATGCTTTGGTCAGAATCACACTCTGCAACAGAATATGATGCTTAAATGGTTATAAAGTCCTTTTACAACACCCACTAGGCACTATATAGCATAGCATATCAGAATTCTATAAACTCAGCCATACCTTGAGTTGAGCATTACAACAAACACTTGATGAGCATCCTCTCTACTCATTCCCTTCTTGAACATACTGATGTTACGGGACTCCAATCTTCAACTAGGAATTTTAACAAACACCTTGACACCAATGGCAAAAGACACCAGCGTCAACGTGCTACTGGACTCCAATATTCAACTATGCATTTTCACAAACACCTTGACACTAATGGAAAAAGACACCACCGTTAGCCTCTACAATAACACCATCGCCATCACTGATCTAAAGCTCCATCATCTAATGTCAAAGCTCCGACGGGATCAAAAATTGTGATCTAAACAGTAGGATGATCGAAGACTTTAACTTGCATATTAGTGAGAAACATCAAAACACCCCCGAGATCAAACACGGTGATGAAGTCATAGTGGTGATTCAAATACCCAAAATTATTTTCATTTGAGAGTGAAAGAATCAAAATATGAGATTTCATTACCTCCTTTGTGATGACGAGTTTGTGACTTGCTGATTCCAATCTTGATGACATTGAATCTTGTGCGATGAAGACCCTTGCGGAACGATTAGTAGCAGAAAAGGAGATTTTGAAAACCTAACATCAATTCAACATTAGATGACCTTCCACGGGGTGGCAAGCTTTAGAGAATAGGGAAGTTTTGTTTCTCTTTCAGTTGGTGATTGGGGATTGGCATAGTTCTCTTTTCTCTCGTATGCCCGGAAAATCAAATTGCGGTACAACTCAGCTTTTTTTAACTTTTTTACGGCGACGGGTGTTTTACCGTCGTGCCCATGAGAATTTTTAAAGGTTTTGGGTGCGACGGTTGTTTTACCGTCGTGAAATGAATTTTAGGACGGATAATTTTACCGTCGTGAAAGGTTTAAGGGTGCGACGGGTGCTTTACCGTCGTGATATGCCTTTTAGGACGGTTAATTTTACCGTCGTGACTAGTTGTTGGTGAAAAATCAATGTTAAAAGTGTTAAATGGGGGCCGACGGTTGTTTTACCGTCGTAATAATAATATTATGATGGTTAAATATACCGTCGCAAAATAAATATTAGGGACGGTTGGTGTCAACTGTCGTAAACACTGTCGCTATATGTCAATTACGACAGTTATCACATAACTGTCGCAATTTTTGTGTCGTTAAACACTAATTTTCTTGTAGTGAAAGTGTCCTAACAATCACACAACAAACGTTACAAAAACGAGACAATTCATAACAATACGTGAAAACACATATATTCAAAAATATCATTTATAAGTTAATGTACAATTTCTATATAAAATATACATTAATTACAAAACTCAAAAACAAAAGAATTATCACAATGCGAAGACAATAGAACCAATCCCCGACAACGACACCATTTTTGTTGGAATGGTGTAGCGGCAAGCAACAAAAGTTTTGGAAATATTTATTCAGGAATTTATTGTGTCCACAGAGATTGGTTATTGAATTATCGTTCAACAAATCTCTCATTAATTAATTTGGGGATAAATGGGTTTGTAAAGAAAATGTTATCAACACAAAAAATAAATGTAAACAAAAGTAAAAACTAAGGAAGAACTTATCAAGCCTTCATATAATCTACTCATCAAAGACTTAAATCTATCTACCAGTTGAACTCAACCTACTCTACTCGTCAAAATCATCACGGACACCACGAGATGTACCCACAATGAAGGTTATGTCTAACTTCAAGTCGTGACACCAACCGTATTACTCTGTCGGCAATGTCTTGCGCGCTACAACAATACAGAGGCATTAAGATTTAGCACCCAAAGTGAATATTAGTTCTAAATCTATCTCTAGAATCTAGAAACCAATAGATATCCATCCCTAATCAAGATTTGTGAGGTATATGTCTATAATAACTCAAATCCAAACATAAAGCAAAAAGATCAAAGGAGACATCAAGATTGATTTGTAAAGCAAGCTTTATATAACACCATGATCAACAAATATACATATGTTCAAAGTAAATATACAAACATAACCAACAAATAGAGAAATACATAGAGAAGAAATGGATAAAAAACAAAATCTCACGGATTGTCAGCGTCGATTGATGAGAAATCTGACTCTGAATCATCAAGATGCATGCTCCAATGTTGTTTTCTAAGCTCTCTACCAAAAAATGGAGGTTTGATGAATTGGGACCAAAAATACCCAAAACATAACCTAAAAAATGTGCTTTTGGCCCTAAATACACATTTCTGACTATCCAGTATCGCCCGACGACCAAAAAGCATCGCCCCGGCAATAGCTGGAAGTAAGTTTAAAAACCAGCACAACATTCTGCATTGTTTCAGTCATAACTTTTGAATCGTAACTCCGATTTGTTCCCGGTTCAAAGTGTTGGAAAGCATATTCAATGCTCCTTCTAACAATGACAAAATATTAACCAAACTGATGATTTCTTATTCTTTGATTTTGAGCATTATTCGTTGACGAGTTGCTCAAAATCGCACGTTTGAAATCGTGTCTTCGATACTTTATTGCTCATGCTCCAAATACGCATCGATACCTACAAAATGAACGGTACCCTATGTACACAAAAACACAAATAAACACAAACTAAACGTATTTACACAAAAGTCGGGTTTATTCAATGATTTTAACAACAAAAAGTCGATAAATGCAATAAAAAGTATATACAAAAATAGCTATAATTTGCACTTATCAACGAGAAACGGTCATCGTACAGTTATAAAGGCAAATCGTAGGGCACTTTTGCAATTTTATCGTAAGGGACTAGATTGTTTACCGAAGGCAGCATCAGAGAGTCATCGAAGGACTACGAACTTTTTAACTGAGGGTCTTTGCTAAAGTGTCCCACGTTCGAGGGAC